TCATGCGCCGATTACAATGTGATTGTTTTAGTCGAAACTTGGTTAAATTTTGAATTCCATGATGCAGAATTGGGGTTAGAAGACTTTTAGAACATTTTTAGAAGTGATAGAAATTATAATACTAGTGTCAAACAACGTGGTGGGGGAGTATTAGTAGCTGTGGCCAAACATTTGGAAGTGTGTGAGGTTTTTGTTCCTCAAAATAGTGTTGAGCAAATGTTTGTTTCACTTAAGTGTCAAAGTCAAATTGTCGTATTTGGTGGTGTTTATTTACCTCCGGCATCTGATAGGCATGTATATATAGAACACTGTGATAGTATTGAATATATATATATAATATAGATTCAGGATATATATATAATTAATACATCCGGTTGTTAGATTGTGGATTATAATTTACTTGATGTAGTTTGGGTTCACAGTCTTTATGGTACCACGGTACAGGCTAACCAAAACTCACCAGCTAACGATATATGTAATATCATTAATATTTGTGACTTATACCAGGTCAATACGATATCCAACCGGAGAAATGTTTTTCTTGATTTAATTTTTTCTAGCTTTCCTGATATATCTGTTTCTGTACCTCTGGATCCGTTATTTGAGGAGGGATTTCATCATACACCAGTCAATTTTGACGTAATTGTTGATATAAAAGAATCTGTCCTTAATTATGAAGAATACTATTTTGACTTTAAAAATGGTGATTATGTTGATTTAAATTATTATTTAGCGGAAGTTGACTGGAATTTATTATTTCTTTAAAAAAAGCATTAATGACGTAGTTAAAGATTTTTATGATATTTTATTTTATTTAATCGAATTGTTTATACCATTAAAAAAAATTAAAACATCTACATATCCCAAATGGTTTACATCAGAGTTAAAACATTTACTTTATGAGAAGAAAAAAGCACATAAAAAATTTAAAATGACTGGTGGTGATGAGAACTATTGTCTTTTTTCCGATCTCAGGGAACAATGTAAAGAGCTTAGCAAGTATTTACAAAGGCGTCATGTGAATGCAATTGAGGCTCGCAAGCATTGGAGATAATTTATTGGGTTGGATCACGAGTTATTTAACAGATCGTTCACAAATAGTAAAATATGGTAATTTTGTTTCTGAAGCGATTAATGTTACTTCGGGTGTACCTCAAGGTTCTCACTTAGGCCCACTTCTATTTAATCTGTTTGTAAATGATATATCATCAGTAATTAATAATAGTAAATTTCTATTGTTTGCTGATGACATAAAGATCTTTAAAGCAATTAAAAATACCTCTGATATGGATGCTCTTCAGTCTGACTTAAATAATTTATCTCGTTGGTGTGACATTAATGCCTTATATTTAAATATAAAAAAGTGCTATAAAATTACGTTTTCCAGAAATACTAAACATCAGTTATATAGAACATACATACTTAAGGGAGTATCGATTACAGAAGTAAATCAAATTAGAGACCTTGGAATTACATTTGACCAAAGACTAATGTTTGATAGGCATATTAATAATATTACATCGCGGGCTTATAGAATGCTCGGCTTTGTTCAAAGGAACTCCCGAGAATTTTCAATATTTACTTTCAAAATTTTGTATTGTTCTCTAGTTCGGTCCATTTTGGAATATTGTAATATTATTTGGTATCCATATTATAATATGTATATTGATCAGTTGGAACGAGTTCAAAATAAATTCCTAAGAATTTGCAGGTATAAAATGGGTTTTAATAGAACTAACTGTGATTATAACTATATTCTTTGTCAACTTAATATGAAAACTTTAGAAAATAGAGAATCTGAGTGTGAATTGCGTTTTTTGCATAAAATTCTTAATGGTTATGTTGATTGTCCGGAACTGCTGGAATTAATTGTTTTTAATGTAAATTCTAGAAGAACACGCTCTCCTGACCTGTTTAGACTAAAGTTTCATCACACTAATTATGGTAAAAGTGAGTCAATCACAAGGATGTTGAGAACTGCCAATAATTTGCAAGATAGTGTTGAATTGTTTAATTTATCCGTGTCCTCGTTCAAGAATAGTTTAAAGAAATTGAGACATAATGTTATTAATACTTTTTAAAATTGTAATATATGACTACAGTTTATATGTTAATTATATGTGTATATTGTAATTTTTGTAAGGAAAAAGGGTTCATCCCGTTAAATAAACAAACAAACAAACAAACAAATTTTTGGATTCAGCAGATCCAAATTACTTAGAAACAGTAAAAAAATTCCAGCAGCAAACTGTGTGTTTATCAGTGTTATATATCCAGTCCCTTTGTACTTAAAATTATTAAAAAATTACTTTGAAAGGAAAACTGTGAAAACTTTTTTTTGTAGTTTAGCGCCCTGTACATTATACAATTATTTAAATTTTTTTAACAGAATATTCTTTAGTTTTTTAAATAAATATAGTTACACTAATTGCTTCTAATGCATTTTCTCATCGAGAAGCGAATTTTCAAACATTTTCAGCCATGTTTTGCATAATTTTACTTTTACCTAAAAGCCTGGAACAAAGGACAAGCATCCTTGTATCGCCTTTTTTAACAATGGTCTCCCACTACAACCGCACAAGAAAAATCTGAATTCAAACTTTAGATCGTTGTAGTCACAATTTGCTAGTTTTTTGATCAGTGCCGCTCACCTATTTTTGCTTGTTTTATTTTTTTTATTCATTTGGTATCCGGACGTCACCTGCACTATCAGATAAGATAAAAATAACAGAACCGAATCGACAGTTTTTGAGCGTTCATTTATTTGAGACCCAGAATATTCTTTATACGACCAAACAATATTTCGTCTTTTGTGGACCACCCTCAGGCTTTCGTGTAACTGTAACTGTGTTTATAGTTCAGCATCAAGTGTCGCGATATCGAATATACCAATTAATAATTTCAATATCGTATAACAACGTTCTCAGATAAAATCTGATCCGTTTGTTTAACGGCCAACCATAAATCTTTTGCCGTCATAACAAATTACCCAAAAATCGTGACTTTGAGCAAAAACGACGATTGTGTTTTTAATGGAGGATCACCCACACGCCCACGCTCAGCGCCCAAAACCGCAAACAATAAAGTGTTTAGCAAAAGGTAGAGATGGGATTTCAAGATCCTCGGTCTTAAAAGATGCAATTTATCGGCACGGATCCTTTTATTTTACACCAAATATACGCTGTACAAAACTGAGTTTATATATACCTTTGATATAGCAAGTACTATTTAATTTAAAAAAAGAATTAATAATTACAATTGCACAAACAACTATAGAACAAGTAAAAGAATTTGTATATTTGGGACAACTAGTTAAATTAAATAAAGAAAATCAGACCGGAGAAATAAAGAGAAGGATACGGTTGGCTTGGGTATCCTTCGGAAAACTTTCCTATATACTAAAAAATAGAAAATACACCCAATATTTAAAAACTAGAGTCTTCTCAAACTTAAACGTTTACAAATGAAAACATGGAAAAAATAGCAAAGACCCAAAGAGCCTTGGAAAGGCAAATGCTGAACATTAGGCTATCAGACTATAAGTGGAAGTTCGCTGGACATACCATAAGATAGAAAGACGGTAGATGGAATAAGATGATTATACACTGCAGACCATATAGTTACAAACGAAAAAGAGGAAGGCCATAAATGGAAGGTCAGATGACTTGACCTAAAGTTTTTGGGAGAAAATGGAATTAAAGCTCTGTGTAATCTCTTTAACAGAATTTATGACACTGGGATATTTCCAACTGATTGGTTAAAGTCGACATTTGTCACAATACCTAAGAAAAATCGTCCAAAGACAAGGTTATAAAAATAGACAGGTTGTCTGGTAACTTTACACCAATCAGCGTCGAGAATCTAATGGCGGGAATGACGTCACTGAGAATGCTACATTCAAACTCATTCACTTTACTCCTTGAAATGAACTCGGAAAGCAGCAATGATTGTAAATATATTAATTATGTATATTGAAAAAAATACGTTTGGACTTTTAATAATTATTTATTTCATTCAATCTTTAAAAACTGTGGGAGATAAGTACCTGCAGAGTTACATAAATCATAAAATATTGCAGCTAAACATATGTAGTAAAATAGCATTACTATAATAAATTAGAAGTAGATTCTTTCTTGTGTATACATGTGACTAATAGTATATTACATAACGAGAGTTGTAAGAAGCTTATTACATGCGAGTAAAAAAGTCGCGCGCGAGCCGCGTAGCGGCGAGCGCAGTAATTTTACAAGCATGTAATAAGCTTACAACTCAAGTTGTGCACTATACTTTTTCTACCATTATTTTCGTTTAAAAAAATAAAAATTAAATTACCACTATATTTACACTGACAGATTAATAATTTTTTAATCTGTCAAAATAACGTCTGTTAATTCGTTTCCATGGTAACTCGACCAACTGACTTACAAGGCTTATGTGATATTACACATTTTTATAAAACTGAAGCGTAATTTTTTTTATTACGTGCTAGTCATTACGTGTCAGTATCTGTTATGATGCATTTACTTAGCATTTAAATAGTAGGTAATATACAATTTACTAGTAAGCGAGTAGAAAAAACATATTAATATACTATACTAATAATGGGTTGAATACAAATTACTTTTTTAAATTATTTTGAATTGAGGATAATGCGTGTAGTGGATTATAATAAATTCCTCCAAAGAAGTAAACCATGCTGAAGAAGAGATTCAACTGAGTTTGTATTGCTTTTATCTGCTCCTCTTCTGTATTCTGTAAAATTAAATGTTCAAAAATATCTTTGTTATCTTTCCTGGCCATGCGTTTTGATCTTATACTTATTTCTTGTATACCATTTTCATTTGGCAGTAGAAATAAGGAGGGAATTCCTAAAATTAAAAGTTTTAATTACAACCAAGTATGTGAAGTTAATATTAATGATATTTGTTTGTTTTTTACTTTATTTTGTAAAGTCAGTGAATTAACAAAGTTTTACTAAACATTTAAATGACTATACCTACTTACCATCTTTTTTCAGCTTTTTAGGTTGTGTGTTTAATAGTTTAGCTTTTAAAGCATTCTTATAATCGTCCATGCGAAAGTGTATACTACAAATTCTTTTATTTAAACAGGACCACTTATCCTTCCTATGACACTTGCTCATCCATTGTTTTTGAATTTTTACATTTTTTGGAAATGTAAAAAACATTAAATTCCTTCCATTCTTTTTGCAATTTTTTGAATTATTTGCAGATTGCTACACTACAAATATTTCCACCAGTCATCACAATCAATAAGAAAATTGAATTAAGTTATGTTTTTTCAGCATTAATTCCAATGTTACCTTTAGAAATAAAATTCAGTAAGACACAACCACCTTAAAATGTATCTTAACACTTGTATAAGAGTTTTGGGTCCAAGTTGTATATTAATAATCACTCAATAATATCTATAGACACATTATATCTCAAGATATTAACATAAACTAAAGCACTAACGATATTTAACAACAAAATATATCCTCCAAACCAATTATCCTATGTTGTTTTCAAACAATTCGTAAAATTGACCCCTGGGTGACGTCACACGTTATATTTCATTCTGTCAAATGTCAGAGTTACCATGCAACCTCCCTTTTACTAACCTTGGTCCAAAGACATGAGATGATTATCGGACAATAAGTCTGATGAGTCACGTTTTGAAGATCTTCCTTCGAGTAATACAGAGCAGAATTTACACGCTGTTAGAGGACAGAATTAGCAATACTCAATTTGGGTTTAGGAGTGGCTTGAGTACAAAAGAAGCCTTGTTTAGTATACAGGTGCTAGTACAGAGATGCAGAGATATAAATCAAAATGTGTACATTTGTGCAATCGATTTTGAAAAAGCTTTTGACAAAGTACGACATAACAAAATGCTAGAAATATTGGAAACAGCTGGATTGGACGATAAAAATCTACAAATAATTACAAATCTATACTGGCATCAAGTGGCAAGAATAAAGGTTGAACAAGAACTGTCGGATGAAATAAATATAAAAAGAGGAGTGAGACAAGGCTGTATATTGTCGCCTTTACTTTTTAACTTATATTCGGAGGAAATATTTAAGGAAGCCTTAATGGAGACAACCGAAGGTATTATTGTGAATGGAGTAACCGTCAACAATATTAGATATGCCGACGATACCTTAGTCCTTGCCAATTGCGGAGAAAACCTTCAAAATCTAATGAACAAAATAAAACAGACTTGTGATCAGTATGGATTAAAACTCAACGTTAAGAAAACTAAATATGTGATAGTTAGCAAACAAAATTATATACAGGATGACGGTATAAAAGTCGGAGATGCCACACTGGGCAGAGTAGAGAAACTCGTGTATCTCGGCAGTAATATCAATAAGAGCTGGGATCCAACCGCAGAAATTAAAAGCCGAATAGAACAAGCCCGAGCTGCCTTTGTAAAAATGAGAAACGTACTTTGCAGTCACGATCTTAGCATTGACCTTAGAGTTCGTATGACATCTTGCTACATCTTTCCTGTCCTGCTGTATGGAGTGGAAGCGTGGACTCTAACTGAGGCTATGCTTAAACGCTTGACAGCCTTTGAGATGTGGGTATACAGACGACTACTGAAAATAAGCTGGGTCGACAGAGTTAGAAATGAGGAGGTCCTTAGACGGCTGAGCCAAACAACACAACTGGTCAATATAATAAAGAAACGCAAGCTGGAATACTTCGGTCACATTATGAGACACCCTGAAAAATATGATCTTTTACATCTGATCATTCAGGAGAAAGATCCAAGGTAATCGTGGTCCTGGTAGACGAAGAACATCATGGCTGAAAAATCTAAGGCAATGGTATGGAAAATCAACTACATCGTTATTTAGAGCTGCTGTCAATAAAGTCACGATAGCGAATATGGTAGCCAACATGATATCCAACGATCGATAATGGTCATGGAACTAGAAGAAGAAGATGATGACTTGAAGAAACACACAGGGAACTGGATACAAACTGCCTACAATAGAGAGACGTATAAGTAGGAAGAGGAAGCCTATGTGCAAAATTGGACAGCAAGGGCTGTATAGATAGATAGATAGATTTAATTTAATAGTCATGATAGATGTTTAGAAACGAAGATAAAACGTGGAGAAAAAAATGCTTTTTACAAAATAGACACAACAAACAAAACAAACCTAGACAGTTCTCTAAATAGATGAAGCACGACTTATACAGAAAGAAATGAACGATCAGAAGACAACAAAAAAATTATCTAAATTATTTATTTGTCAAAGACTAGAGATACGTATAGATGAAACAATTTAAACTAACTTTTTAAGTTATCTTGTAGAGATCAGGGATCCGGGAATAACTCCATCTCTATCGGAAAAACGTTCAAATTCACTGCCATCCGTAAGAATTAGAATTTCTCTTGAGTTATTTTAAGTATCCCATAAAACCGTAGCGTACAGATAGTAAATCAAATGTTCTCACTGTTATCTTAGGACTAATTTTCATTTGAGGGCAAATGAATCAGACAGCTCGGTCAGTGTCAGTGCCAGCAGCGTAGTGCTGAGAAACATTATTGCAAAAGACAACATAATGATTGAATGATGTTTTATTTCAGTTAAAACTTTATATGACATGAAGAACGCTGCGATCTACAAAATAAATAACAAAAATATTTTTTTAACAAATCTATCAAGAATATTTATAATCATTTGGACTAAAACGTATACCGTAGATTGGGGATACTTTGATCTCGGGGGTTATTTTGTTCAAAACTTTAAAAAATAATTATATGCCTCAGGCGTGTGCGCTTGCGCTTAGCCACTGCCGATAACCGAATTTTGCCTAGTCGGCAGCAATGTTACTGTTATTTAGTATTTATGACCATTCGATACCGATACACACGCGTGTGCTAGAAATACAAGCATTTTTTTGGAGTATTGAGTTTAACATCAATTTTGTTAAGTGAAAAACTTCGTACATATCACGGTAAGTATATTGTTTATACAACGTATTCTTTCATGTAGTGATTAGAAGTACTTTGATCATGAATCTCACTGAAAATAACGTAAGCAGGTTATGGGAGTGATTAAGAGTACGGCGTGAAATTACTGGGGGAAACATTGATCAATACAATGGGCAACATTGATCGTGTGATCAATGTTACCCCAGACGATCCGTATAATCGTTTTTTCGAACAGATGAAAATATTAATCAAATAAATATTATTTAAACGTATTCTTTCTTGCAGGAAAATGCCCCGTAAGCATAAAAGATTACTTGGCAGCAGAAGTTACGCTGATTACCCTCCAGCAAATTTAGAAAGAGCCATTGAACGGGTAGTTGAAGGTACACTATCTATTAGAGAAGCATCAAGACAATATAAAATTCCCTTTGGTACCCTGTATAACAGATATAAAGGAAAACATATTGGCACCCCCGGACGTCCTACTATTTTCACCAAAGGAGAGGAGGTAGCAATTTTAAAAGCAGCCGCTAAATGTGCTGACTGGGGCTTTCCTTTATCTATTCAGGACCTACGAATGATGGCAAAATGGTATTTGGATCAACAAGGAAAAAACGTGGCTATATTTCAAAATAATCTGCCTGGTATTGACTGGGCATACAGCCTACTTAATAGGCATAAGGATTCGTTTGGGCAACGACTAGCAACAAATATTAAACGTGCTAGAGCTGCTGTTTCAAGAGTTACACTAGAAGAGTTTTATAATAACTTGGAGCCAGTAATTAAAGATTTGCCCAGTTCCAACATTTTCAACTATGACGAATCTAATTTGTCAGACGATCCAGGGAAAAAACGTTGCATATACAAAAGAGGCATTAAGTACCCCGAAAAAGTGATGAATCACTCCAAAAGTTGTACCACTATTATGGTATGTGCTGCTGCAGACGGAACTCTTCTCCCTCCCTACGTCATTTATAAAAGCATTCACCTGTATGATACGTGGAAGGAAAATGGACCGCGTGGTTTACCTTGCTGCGATAAACCATGCTGCAACCAAGGGACGAGGTATAATCGTACTCAAAGTGGATGGATAGATGGCGTAACTTTTAGAGACTGGTTCACAATTGCTTTTTACCCATGCACGACGTTAGAAGGAAGAAAAGCTTTGATAGGAGATAATTTGTCGTCACACATGGATGTTGAAGTTCTTAAGATGTGTGCTGAACATGAAATTGACTTCATATGCTTAGTTCCAAATTCTACCCATTTGTGCCAACCACTGGACGTGGGCTTTTTCAGGCCAATGAAACAGGCTTGGAGGACGACGTTAACGGATTGGAAATTACAAAATTTGCGACTAAGTACAGTTCCAAAAGATATGTTTTCATCTCTTTTAAGGAAAACATTAAAAACTCTTGACGAAGTCACTCCTCGAGTTTCGAAAGGTGGTTCATCCCAACAAACGGATAAAATTGCGTCAGCAGTAAAGCGAAACTTAATTAGCTCCTTTCGTTCTACTGGTATTTATCCGTTTTGCCCGGGTGAAGTTTATAAGAAATTGCCAACAGATGACGCTCCACAAGATCCCACGGACGCCGTTGAAAATGCATTAACTGCACTTCTAAAGGAGCAAAGATTTGGAGGACCAGAGAGACCAAAAACAAGAAAAAAGAAACTAGATGTAGCTCCCGGAGCTAGTGTGTCAACAGCAATAATTGAGCAGCAATCAGAAGATAGTTCAGATAAAGAAAGCCACATATCACAGTCAGATGAATCCGAGTCCGAAAATGAATCAGACTTGTTAGAAAATGAAGAAAACTACGAAGTGCAGTCTGAAGTAGATAAGGTTCAAGCAGGTAGTATATTTTAGCAAAATTCTTATCTCAGAGAGGAAAAAAACTTATATCTATGTCTCTAAAATTTTGTAGGTAGAGCCGGAAGTAATAGTCATAGGCTATAAATCCATAAAACCCAGCAAGACAGAATTTAAGATGATTGATGCCGACATATCCCAAATTAGTAAGGAGGATATAGTTGAATTTTTACCAAATCCCGCATCTATAGAGTGTTTAGATGGAAGTACCAAATGCATTTTTAAAAAAGACATTAAAGTAGTTG